TAAAGTTCTCAACGCATTTACTAAATTATCTGAAAGAATGACTCTTAAGTGATTTACAATTTACTCTGCTCATTAAGTCTCGGTGAGTATTGTTAAGGGAGGTTAACATGCTGTGCTGTGAGAGGTAAACATGTAAAATCCATTTTTCCTGCTGCATTGAGAGCAATTATTCACCATTTCCATCTGTCTCTTCTCTCTCCTTTACTCCCAGTAGAAATGTGCAACTAATCGCACGGTAAAACACCATTTTTCTGCTATACGGCCCATGCAAAGCATAGTCTTTGTTCTATATAACTTCCTCCAAATGCTACAAAACACAATGCAACATTATAATGAACAATACGTGTCCCGTTTTCCCATTTGTGACATTGTGATATTGGTGTAAAACTTGTATTAGCTGATGTGGGTGTCTAACACAATACTGTAAGTAATTAGTTGCCTGTGAGCTTTAGATAAGGAGGAAAAAAGCTCGCCTTTGATGTTGATTATGCGTTATCTTAGCATAAAAGTGATGGAATTAAACGCCGCTTGTTCTCAGACACGAAAGGGAAATATCTACAGTCTCACGTACATTCTCCGCCTATTTTCTGAGTTAAACGGCAACTTCTGATGCACCAAGCAATCAATTTCTCTTGCAGCCTTATCAGTCGCATACGCGAGACTGCGCTTGTTTTGTGGACGCAGCGTTGTGGGGTTGACATGCAACGAACGCTTACGGCAAAGCTGTAACACGGGCAGGACGATTACGAATCAAAAGAAGAAAAAAATCAGCTTGATAAGATGGCTGGCAAACAAAATGAAAATCAGCAGCTTATGCAGAAACATGATAATTTCACATCATCATTAGAACGGGGGCTGATTGACTCGCTGTGTAAATGTTGAGCGAAACAAACATGATAAAGGAAGAAACAAAATAAAAGATCTATGCTTAAAACAAAACCAAATGGGTTTCTTGAAAGGCTGGACTGGACAATATCAGCATATCAATAGCTAATAAAACAAAAGAGGAAACTGCCTTTAGCTACTGACGCATTTTATTATTGGTTTTTAAAGTTTAACTTAATTTATAACTGCTGTACACACAAGTGTAGTCATTTATATACCTTTCATCTATCGTAGTTTCTAAAAAAGTGCTAAGATATACTGTATTGGAGTACTGGAATGTGCTTTGGGTGGTAGTACTGTATATTTAACAAATAACAAACAAAATCTGACTATTGAATCTATAGAATATATCCACAATAATTGAATTGTGTTTTGTGGAGAAAATGCCATCCTGTAGCTCAAACAGAACATGTCACTGCAAAACTGAGGTCATTGGTTCATTTCCCAGGGAAAGCATGAACTGATAAAATGTGTGCCTTGAATGCAATTTAAGTTGCTTTGCATAAAACGTGTCTGCCAACTGAATAAAAATAAGTACACCCCTATATTTAGTAACTGGTATTGCGTGAAAAATCAAGCTTTAAATGTTGTTTATATGTCTATTTGGTGTTTTTAATGTGCTCTAAGTCAAACCATATACAAATTCATTTTATTTGCAGTATTTTCTCTTTTTTTATTGATGAGTATTTTCTCCTTGAAACTGCAGTGAACCAAAGTCTCAAAAACACAGTTTGAAATCGCTGGTGTTTCTGCATCAACGAGTGAATCTCTGAGCTGGTGTGAGTGAGTGGAGGCGGAGCTAATTTGCATATTCATAGAACCGCATATGCTAAATGAGGCAAGGTTGTAGAGTTACATTCAAGCTACATTAAAGGGTTAGTTCACCCAAAAATGAAAATTAAGTCATTAATTACTCACCCTCATGCTGTACCAACCCCGTAAGACCTTCGTTCGTCTTCGGAACACAAATGAAGATATTTTTGATTAAATTTGAGAGCCCTTTAAGGCTTTAAGGCATGACAGATTTTCTTTCTTTCCTTAACATGTCATTTTGGTGATCAAAGATGAGTTTTGAGGGATACAATAATTGACTACAGGGGGACTTTCAGTATTTCACATATGGCATTAAGTAAAACTATTTAACTAAGTTTACAAGTACCTAAATGCAAATTAAGTAACTAAATCTACAAATCTGCAGTAAATACAGCAGGGAAAAGGTGAAAATGCAACCATATATTGTTCATGTCCCAATACATGATGGGAACACCCGTAAAAGGAAGTTGGGTAGGTTTTACTAAAAGGGGTTATTGAACTTTTTTTGTTGTCTGAGGTCAAGTTATCACGTTTGCTTGGTTTTTGCATTCAAAAACATCAAAATGAATAAGTAATAGGCTATTTTGTACCCTAGTTTTGAGCATAGCAGAAAAACACTCGTTTTTTTATGGGCGTCTCGCACTGAAGACTTGGAAGTAAACGCCCACTGCTGTGAGTGGATAACAGGTTTGCATATTATAATGAGTTTCAAATCACCCGTCGATGAACTTGGGGGAAATTGTTTTTGAAAAAAAGCTTTTAATGGACTAACAACGACAGTTCTGAAACTTACAGGATATTCTTATAATATGATGACCTCCTAGATGTCAAAAGCTCAATGAAAATGTGATTTCTCAGTTCATCACCCCCTTAATTGTATGACATTGATATTTACACCTTAATTACAAGCTTAAATTGAGTACTAATATATAATTTACTTTGTTCTTGACTGAACTAACTTATTCAGGAAGAAATTGCATTTTATTTTCTGTAGTATTAACTCAACCACATAATATTTTTTATAAGTGTTTGACTGGAATATTAAACAATACATAATTTCTAGTAGTTGTTCAACTCATTTATTCACATTACGTCACAATAATCCCAAAAAAGTTATTAAATGGTACAGAATCTAAAAAAAAAAAAAAAAAAAAAAATACAGAAAAAAAAAAGCTTTTAAGAAAGGTGTGTGTGTGTGTTTGTATTGTATGTTTTAGTTTGTCAAAAGTCTAAAACGGTCTTATTATTTCCAGGTTAAAATTTTATTTTGAATTCCATTTTTTTCAAACTGGTCTCAGGCCCCACAAGCTGTAATATGCAGCAGATTTATTGATTGTTAAAACTTTGACTAGCAAGACTAACGCTTTTAGAGAAGTGTAAGTGACAGCACACACTGTCTTGTTGAGGGACAGAAAAGCATAACGCCAGTACACAAGCATAATTCACGTTACTGTGAAAAGTATTTAGTGCAAAATTGCTGGTATGTACCAGTGAGTACCGCCCCACTTCTGTGAGTATACGATGCCCTTGGGGATCAATAAAGGGCATTCATCCATCCATTTCTCTAAATCAGCGATTCATGGATACGGCCATTAAAACATGATATAAATCTGCAATCCAATATCTTATTTAAAGCCACAACCCTGATCCTCGGCCAGATCAAAGGCCATATTCGCATAAAACCCAACAGGCCGGCCTATAAAGATCAGCAGATTATCGCTAGCGATGCTAAGATAGTTGCGACTGGATGCTGCGGTGGATTATTGAGTGGATTAAATGAATCTAGGAGATTAAGACTAAGATGCTGTAAGTATGTGTGTCTCTGTGTCACAGGCACTGTGTCTCTTCCATAATACTCATGTTAAAGAGATGCTAGCTGGTTTAGTGAGCTTAAACACAAGCTCATTTATCAGCACTGCAGCTAACTGACACGATTAAATAAGCTAGGCTAAATATGCTAATGCTATCGCTGCCACACTGTGGTAGTACAAGATAGCAAATGAATCACTCGATTTTTACTTGAAAGCTATCAAAAGCATTAGGTAACTATTGGATCTGGATGAGGTATTAAGGTCAATGAGGAGAAGTAAATAACCTTACATCCATCCATCCATCATTGTTACGATACAAAACCTTTAAAATGAATCATGTAGATACATGAATACGCATGCTATTTTAGGCCAGACTTAAAACACCAAATTGTAAATATTTTACTTGAATAAAACACCATTATGCATGTAAACAAAGTAGCTTTATAGTAGACCAATAAGTATGAGTAGACCAATATTACATGTACACAACATGGAACTAAATTAATACCATATTCGCTCCAAAGCGCCATTATACAACCATATAATCCATAAAAAAACATATACCAAATATTACCAAAACATATTACCATCAATTACTACAGTACTTTTTGTTAGTGATCCCAGGCTACAGTACCAAATGGCAAAATCCTGATCTACAGTGCTAATCTGAATGTTGACTGACCACATTCAATCTTCACAAAAAAGATTTTAATCTCTATTGATTGAAACCAACCGGGTGTTTATACACTGTAAAAAAAATATTTTCAAGATTTGTTATCACAACATATTTTATTTTGTCAAATCTTTATAATAATTTATTTAGTTGAGATAACTTATTATTTTGAGTTTCTGATGATTAAATTAATCTCCTTCATTGTATTAACTCACTTTTTCCAGTTCAATCAACTTAAAATTTTAAGGCAACCCAGGTCACTTACTTTTTTAAGTTAAACCAACAATATATATATTTTTTTTTTTACAGTGTAATAACGTCAGTGATTTACTATTCATGACTTCCCATTTAATCTGTAATCAACAATACCTGCCAATCAACAGCATTGTAAATATTAAATTGCATGGTTAACAGGTGCATTACTCTAAAATAGCTGAAGACCAGACTTTCAGACAGGTTTTCCATCTGTGCTTTAAAAAAATGACATCTGACAAATTCCCGTAACCCATCGCTTGCCTATCTACAATAATCACGGAGCAATATGTGCTTCCAGTTTTATTAAAGATTTAACTCAGATCACAGATGGATTTCTTTTGGTGCACGGGTTCTTTTTATAGTTTGTCAGGTAAAATGAAATTGTCCTTTTTAATCTAAAAAATGTATGATGTATGCAATGGTGAAAATACCAGGAAAATTGGATGAAATTCCACTGGATGGGATTTCAAAGTGACAGCATGTATCTTAAGCGGTGTGCCATATATCTTCTAATGTCAGTGACAAAGCTATCTTGTGGCCGTCATTATCCTCAAGAGACCAACCTCTAGGAAAAGCATCACTGCGGAGAGAACATGGCACGGTCAACCATCTGTCAAGAAGCGGGATTACTGATGTGTTCTGTGAATGATGAGAAAAACAAAGAGGAGAAACCTCATGTTAATGGAAACAGCAGTAATTTTAAAGGTACAAGTAATCATGTAGAGGACTGACCTCAAAGAATAAGAATAGCAATACTGTGAGAAGTCAATATGGATTTCTGGCAGTCTGTCTGGTCACACTTCCAGGCTTTTAAAAAAAAAGAGAGGAAGACAACGAAAACATTTAAAAAAGGATAAATTAAACTATACATGCACGCACTAACACACACATTTGCCTAACTGAGAAAAAAAAAAACTTAACAAAAAGGAACTGACTAATTGCAAAGCAAACTTCTCCTCCACTCAAAGCACTAGTATAAGTCAAAGTTAAAAAGTACTGTTTTTTTTTTTCTTCTGAAATGTAATTAAGTAAAAATAGAATATTCAGTTTAACTTGCGCTCCAGTAATGTAAAGATCTCCCAAAGATAATACTCAAATCTTGTAATCAATTCACAATACTAGTATTTTATACTAGTCTATAATTATTGTAGTGTGAAAGTAAACTAATATAAAGTGCGAGCGCGAATCTATGCTCGTGCGTGGAATATTGCGCACGCTCTTAGATACACGCTGCTCTTGTAAGTCTATTGAGAATCGTGCATTTAAAACGTGTTCAGTGCAGTCGCGAATCTCTCCTCTTCCCCAGTCAATTTTAGGGTATGGCTACGTCCACATTAATCCGTATACATTTGAAAACGGGGTTTTCGTTTAAAAATGATCTCCGTCCACACTAGCGACGTTTCAGTGTGGATGAGAAACTTCTAAATTCACTTTACTGCGCATGCGTGAAACTTCACAAAAGCTCACTGAGATGATACAGATGGGAAAATAAATAATAATGTTATTGCACAATAACAGGATAATTTTATTTAGCAAAATATCTCACCATCACTGATAATGTTATGAAGTGGGAGGATAGACGAACCCAAAAGCAGACTGATTGCTCAACACAGAATTTATTCAAGACATAACAGAAAATAAAACCCACGAGGGGGCAAAACAAGACTGGGTAGCAAACACTAGACTTAGACTGAGGTCAAGACAGGAACAATACTAAGACACGAACAGACTCTAGATAAACAGTTAACTCAAGGAATTACTCACTGCAAACTTCACAAAACATCAAACAGATCTCACGGCAGGTTTCACACAATGAACCGACACAGGACAGCAAACACAAGGGGATTATAAAGGGAACACTAAAGACAAAGACAGGTGAAACTGACTAGACAATAATCACAAGACTAGGATAACAAGGGGGCGGGGTAAGTTAACGAGACAACACAAGCACATGGCCCAAACAGGCCATGCGCTTGCACACAAAACATGATTCTGTCATGATCCTGCCTCACGACTAGAGAAAAATCAAAGACAAGAAGGCAGAATCATGACAGATAAGTCCAGGTCGCATTAAGTCACTATATGTTTGGCCTAAAACGCAACTGCTCTCCTGTTTTGACGCAGGACAGCAAATGTGAGTAGCCTACATTATCTTTGCAGTACTGTGCTATGAAGAATAGCACATATTTAGTGACATAGAAAGTAACCCAACATATTTTAGCAACAGTGTAAAAATGAATAACACATAACAAGCACAATCCTTTAGCGTCATATAGAACGCTATATGACAAAACGGCGCTATACTACGCACATGGCACCCGTTATCGTTAATATAACACGTGCTGTGAGGGCTAAGTTTAGGTGTGGGGTAGGGTCTGCGCGTCATATTCACGCTAAAGGATTTGTGACGTCTTGGGTTCGCGTGTTATATTAACGATAAAGGGTGCCATGTGCGTAGCATAGCGCCGTTTTGTCATATAGCGTTTTATGTGACGCTAAAGGATGAGAACGGGATGGATAAACATGAATATCTATTGGTACTACATGGATCACATGATGACTAAACTTACATCATCGTTTTGAAATACCTCCGGTTTCACTGTCCATAATACAACGCAAAAACTTTGGAGAGCGTTTTCCAAAAGATACGTTTTCGTTGACTTAAAACGGCATCTCAGTGTGGACCGAAGGTCAAAACGGAGAGAAAAATATACGTTTTCAAACGAAAACGTATTAGTGTGGACATGGCCTATAAGAACGTTTTCATAACGTTACCATTAACATTCAAAACGTCTATTTTTTTTTTAGACGTATTAATGTTCTTGCTTGGTTATAAGAATGTAATTAGAACATTAAGAAATAATAATTTTAGGTTATACTGGGCGCTATTCTAGTCTACAATATTAACTAATGACAATAAAATAGACCATCCAAAGTAAATTTATTGCAGTAATTCATCTCTCAAACAGTAGAAAATGCTTTGAACACCTGATTACGCATGACAAAAAAAAGTCATAAACCAGAAAATCGAACGAAAAAAAAAGTGATATACAATTTTGAAAAACCACCCAGCATTAAAATGAATGATTCAATTACTCATTGCTGAATCAATCAGTGTTGTTGAATGAATTGGTTGTCTAAATTGTTCAATTAGACATTTCATAATAGTTTTGTTCCTGAATGATTCAGTATTTCTGAAATAATGATTCACTCAAAAACTCCTACTGGAGTAAAGATAACCTGTGACCTCCATCTGCCAATATGTCCCACACATACAACAAATATATGAAATGAGCTTACAAACCAGTACACAGACCATTTAGAGTTCAGATCATAGTCGAAATGAAAACAAACTGGGAAAAAATAAACTATTAATACAACTATTAGTCACTCTCATAAACACTGCAAAAGTCTGTCTTCATTTGCTGTATCCCATTTCTTTCTCTCCCCTCAAGTAAAGTCCTGGTGACCATTTCATGAATTCTCCCTTCATTCTTTATTTCCATCAGTCACTCAGTTTTGCCACCCAGCACCCCTCCAGCTGTGACTGTCAATCCCAAAAATGTCAAGGGGAAAAATGGTCTGACCTTGTGTTTCTTCAAAGATCCAAAACATCAATCTGTTTTCAGTGAACACACTACATCAACATTAATCATCATTAAACTCAAGTAACCTGAGATGCATGGCTGTTTATTAGAAAGACCGACAGAAAGAAAAGAGGTAACATGGATCATGAAGTGCACTCTTAGCGTATGTTTGTGCTGACAGACTTTGCTGGTACATTTGAGACCAGAGTGAAATCAAGAGACAAGAGTATTTGCACGACAATGCGGAATCAGATTCTTATTATGAATGACTTATCATTACACACTATTTTTTTGTTATTTAATTCAAGTGTTTAATTCTTTAATCAAAGTAACTTCCCTTCACTCTTGCAGAAACGTGTTTACTGCCGTGAGGGCGGGACAACCTGTCACTCAAATGACATCACAGCAGTAGTGATTCAAAACCATAGTGATTCAATGATAATCAATTCCCAATAGACAAAATCAAGTCTAGCCCAACATTTATTTCTTGTTTGAGAAGCTATTTTACTCGCCAATACGTTGCACAATAGGGAACAAATACTACAGTACCACGACTTCAATTTCATGTGATTTAACATATAGTGGATATATGCATTTATGGATCATATATGCACTCTTTTAGATCTTTCATATTCATCAGGTAACAAAAACTGAAAGGGAGCAGGTTTCAGCTAATTTTTCCATAAACTTGTGGAAAAAATATGTCTATAGTTGTTTTTTATATTAATTTTTAATACAATTTTAGTGATTACTACAGTATTGTTACTTTTATGGTAGTTTTAGTTTGTTTTAGTAGGGAAAAAAGGTAGGCCCATAGATTACAGTAGTCTGGTGCTGAGGGTTCTGATCATGTATCATACAGTGTGCAGGGGAATGTGTTGTTTGGCAATACACTGGTCAGACAACACTTGTTGTCATGTCATAACTTAACTCAAAGATTGAGAACAAATGACAAATGAGAAATGACACAGGCACGAGCATCCATCCATCCCTGTGGGAATGAAGTAGAAAGGGTGTATGTTGCAACTGACCAGGCAGCATCTATGCCCTCTGGGTAGGACACAACTAAAGGCCATTTTACACCACAAGCTACCAGTTCCTTGCCATTTTGTCATGCACATCCCTGGAAAATAAAAATATTTCAACGTTTTGCGCCTGCTTAGTGTCATTAACCAATAATAGGTGATTTTATTCACAGCTACCAACAGCATGTAGCTTGTATGTGGATGAATAAATAATGAAGATAAAAGTTTATAGAAAAATGAGTGCCGTTTTATGTAGTGAATTTTGACTTTCTTCACATCACATTTTCTTTTCCTATAGAACATACATTAAAGAAGATATTTTGAATTGCATAAGGGTGATTAAATGATAACCGAATTATTTATTTATTTATTTTTTTTGGGTGAACTACTGTTAAGAGTCAGTAAAAGTGATGAGGAAACATAGATGTGATCACTCATTCAATCGACATCAGATATTCAAAATGCTATGGAAAGCAAGATAAAATTTTTGGTTAATTAAAATCGAAGTACATGCAAAGTTTGCTAAATCGTCAAGAGGCTCATCAAAGATGAACAGATCTGTGATGGAGTGAACTTTACCTGACTTACAGGCTCTGACATTCAGCTTCAGTCTTCAGTGACTGGCCTTTTGCTTTATCCCATCCTAATTGGGCTTTCATTTGTCAGGGAAATGATATTGGATGGATGATGATTGCCTTTTTCAATGTGGTTATCTGATTGCTTTTCACAAATTAACAGTGCTTAATGGTTTAAATTACCTTAAATTTAAGTGAGTAGGAAGAAAACCCCAAAACTTATGCCCAGACGATGAATTAGTCTGGAGCCTCTAATGTTTTATTTTAATGTCTTTCTTCAATTGTAAAATTTAGTTGCCAAGACAATTATAATAATTTAAGAAAATTACAAACAAATTAATGCATTTCTAATTATGCATCAGGAAGGCTCTTAATGTTTAAAGAGTGCAACTGACACTGCAAACTGACAGTTTGAGTGACTAAAAAGTTGCATCGAATTAAACTATTTAAGATTATTAGAATTTGTACGAGCTCAAACACTTCATTGTGTTCCTATCAAAAATTAACATGACAAACAGCCTCATTCAGAATGAAGAGAGATCACAATGTGTATTCATTTAAAATTTAAGTGAGTGAAAGAGAGAGAGAGACAGACTGTCAGTGAGCAAGCGAGTCAGTGAGTGGATGAATGAGTGAGAGAGTGTGTGAGTAAACGTGTGAGTGAATGAGGGAATAAATGAGCGGGGGAGTGAGTGAGTGAGTGAGTGAGTGAAGAGGTGTAAGTCCAGGTTCAGAAAATAAATGTCCTCCTCAGTATTTTGTTTCAATTACCTGGATGTGATAATTAGCACAGTTTTTCAGCCAGGAGATAATACAGCGTTAAGCATTAGAACTAATTAGTGAAATCAGCTGGTTGAGTTCATGGGTGGAATAAACATATGGCAGGACTTTTACTTTCTGACCCCTGGACTTTACACCTCTGAGTGAATGAGGGACTGAGTGCGTGAAGGAGAGAGAGACTGACTGAGTGAGTGAGTGAGTGAATATATGTCATGATCTATATGACATGATCTATACATATATGTTCTGTGTGTTTGTTCTATTATTTATATATAATATGTTGATGCTTTGGCAACATTGTGTTACAGTCATGCTAATAAAGCTATATTGAATTGAATTGAGTGAGTAAAGGAGAGAGAGACTGAGTGAGTGAGGGAATGAGGGACTGAGTGAGTGAATGAAGGAGAGAGGGACTGAGGGAATAAGGGACTGAGTGAGTGAATGAAGGAGAGAGAGACTGAATTAGTGAGGGAATGAATGAGAGAGAGAGACTGAGGGAATGAGGGACTGAGTGTGTGAAGGAGAGAGAGACTGAGTGAATGAGTGAATGAGGGACTGAGTGAGTGAGTGAGTGAGTGAAGGAGAAAGAGACTCAGTAAGTGAGGGAATGAGGGACTGAGTGAGTGAGTAAGGGACTGAGTAAGTGACTGAGTGAATGAGGGACTGAGTGAGTGAGTGAGTGAGTGAGTGAATGAGGGACTGAGTGAGTGAGTGAGTAAGAGACTGAGTAAATGAGGGCCTGAGTGAGAGAATGAGTGGGTGAGTGAATGAGGGACTAAGTGAGTGAGTGAGTGAGTGAATGAGGGACTGAGTGAGTGAGTGAGTGAATGAGTGAGTAAGGGACTGAGTGAGTGAGTGAGTGAGTGAGTGAATAAGGGACTGAGTGAGAGAGTGAGTGGGTGAGTGAATGAGGGACTGAGTGAGTGAGTGAGTGGGTGAGTGAATGAGGGACTGAGTGAGTGAGTGAATGAGTGAGTAAGGAACTGAGTGAGTGAGTGAGTGAGTGAATAAGTGACTGAGTGAGAGAGTGAGTGGGTGAGTGAGTGAATGAGGGACTGAGTGAGTGAGTGAATGAGTGAGTAAGGGACTGAGTGAGTGAGTGAGAGAGTGAGTGAATGAGTGAGTAAGGGACTGAGTGAGTGAGTGAATGAGGGACTGAGTGAGAGAGTGAGTGAGTGAGTGAATGAGTGAATGAGGGACTGAGTGAGTGAGTGAATGAGTGAGTAAGGGACTGAGTGAGTGAGTGAGTGAATGAGGGACTGAGTGAGTGAGTAAGGGACTGAGTGAGTGACTGAGTGAATGAGGGACTGAGTGAGTGAGTGAATGAGTGAGTAAGGGACTGAGTGAGTGACTGAGTGAATGAGGGACTGAGTGAGTGAGAGAGTGAGTGAGTGAGTGACTCACTGAGTGAGTGAAGGAGAGAGAGACTGACTGACTGAGTGACAAACAAACTAACACACACATTATGTACAGCAAAGGAAATGAGAAATAGAGACAGTCACAGAAGTCACAAGAAACAGTTGTGATTGAGTGTTATAAATGGTGTGGAGGATAGGCAAGAGGGGATAAAGTGAAAAACTGGAAAGGGGAGGGATGCATGGGGAAAAGAGGAAAGGAAGAAACAGGGAGTGTGAGAGACCAGAGAGCAGTTCATTAGTGTCCAGGTTGAGTGTTCTCAGAGTGCCATACGAGACGATCTGAGGGTGAGGAAGAGAAAACCACCTGACAGAAATGTCAAACGACTTCAGTCCTCAAATGAAAACCAGCAACTCAAAAGGCTTCATAATCAAATGCCACACTGACCTGGAGTCTCGGAATATGTTTCTTTCCCTTTCTCTCTTTGATTATCATATAGCATGGCAGTATATATATATATATATATATATATATATACATATATATATATATATATATATATATATATATATATATATACACACACACACACACACACACACACACATACGGCTGAAAAATGAGAGACAATCAATAATAAAATGAAATAGTATTTTGTCTATAAAAAACTAAAAGCAGTAATTTCAAACGCTAAAGTAGCATCACAACTTTATAGTGTATAGTAAAAGTTAATATTTATGTTTAGATTTGCTAAAGATTACATTAAACAGTGTTTTTAAAGACTATCTGCAAGTAAGCATTAGATGACAGGGAATAATCAAAATATTAAAACCGAGAAATAATTTAACAATTAACTAACAAATAATATTTGTTGACCAAAAACCCTAAAGAAGACCATAAACATAAAAAAGTTCGGAATAAAACAACGATTTATGTTTTAAAGAAAATAGCTTACTATTTCATGTTTAAGTCATTGTGTTACTTACCATTTCTCTGCAAATGTTTGTCAGATTTACTAGAATTTTTTGAGTGAAAACTGTTTCTATACCAATGTATTTTCAGTTTTGAGGTGGGCCTTATATCCAATACAAAGGAGGACCTTGTTGCCCCCCTCCCGGCAAGAACACTGGGTAACACTATTTCTCTCTCTAAGGGACTGCTGCGCTGTTGATGTCTGAAACTTGTTCAAGCCTCAGGGCTAACTACTTTAAAACTTCTACTTATCTAATTAAAGTTATTAAAACGACGCACACACATTTAATACACACAACAATGGTTTCACGCAGCAAATACAGCACAAATATAGACACACCAAATGGGGTCTCATTAAAGCATTAATATGTAGAGAGATTTTGATGCAGCGTTTGTTGATGGTAAAAGACAACGGCTGATGGCTGAAAACATTTTGTTCTCTTGCCTGCAATGTTTCCTGCAATTTTGACCTAGCAAAGAAACGTTCTAGTAGCAACATTATTCTTTAAAAACACGAAAAAACAATTTAACAGATACAAATGAATATGGATCAGTAACAGTGAGAAAAGAGGGGGAATGGATTTGAGTGTTTTGGAAAACCCTTGGATGCAAATGTAGGGAAAAAAAAGAAAAAGCCCATCAGAAGATCTTCACGTATTAGGAAACAAATCTTCGGAATGGACTTGTATTGTGAAAGGTCATAAATTAACAGAGGCTTCTGGGAAGTGTTTTAGCTTGTGCTTGGCTGAGTGTTTACTTTTTTTCCCCATTTGAGTTGTATGATTGACTAACTCATCGCATAAATAAATCAAATCAAAGTAACATTTAAATCATCCAAAGCTCCACTAAACACTCAGAAAGGTCCCCCGATGGAATTCCCATCTCTTAACCATTCTGACACAGATGGAGATTTTTAGTGATTACAGACATTAAGGATGTTAGTATTACCAACCAAACTGGGTCAGAAAGCTTTCTGCTTCTAATGCATGCGTATGTCTTCCATATTTGTGATTCAGAGAGAGGAAAAATACCTTTTTTTTCTAGAATAAATGGAGCTATTTTCATATTCCAGGTCAATATGGGGTCGAATATACATAATATGCTTAGAAAACACCAATTGTTTTTAAATTTAATGAGTAACAGATTTCAAATTCAAAGGCTACATTTGAATGTTTTTTATTTGTTTGTTTGTTTGTTTTAAGAATCATGCAAACATAAGATTACATTACATTTTAGGTTAATAAATGTAAGAAAAGATTCAGTCATCAGATTCAGCAACAAACACATTTTTTTCCCATACAATAAAAAATGTCATAATCAATTTTCATAATCAAATAAATTAAAGGTGTGTGACAAAGTCCCCTGATGGCAGTGTAGGCCCCTTTGTTTGTTTGGTTCATATTATTTCTATAAAAGTTTGTTTCTCACAATTTGGTAACTTTTTTCTAGTCTGAGGTGCACATTAGACTGTTAAAAAAACACCAAGAGATTTAGTTCTTTATTTTGGTATTTACATAAATCATTAGTTTTATCCTCATTTGCAAAACTAACCTTCTGGGTTCATGTCTGCAGCATGGTTTCCGGGGGTGGGTGTTAAGAGGACGGGCGGCCTTCCTGTTCCTCATTTTATGCCATCCCAAAGAATTCTGGGTAGTGTAGGCATAGTCCATTTCTCAATGGGAGCAGGGGGTTATTGTTTCATGTTTCATTGTGCTTATGTTTATTGTATGTAGAAATGTATTTGTTTATTATTTGTATTACTTTCCTTGTGTAATTAAGGTTGATGTATTTTGAATATTATTTTCATTTTCAGTGTAGTTTTATTATGTATGTGAACATTATTTAAATTCCCTATTACTGTTAAATGGTTGACCCTTTCAGTATAAAGGTGTGAAAGCAGTTCTGGTGAGGGACCTCCGTGAGGAGGGTCACCTTGAGTGGTTTTGGTTATGTTATTTTTTTATTTGATATTCTTTATTTGGATGAGGGATTGATCAATAAAGATTTCACTGACTTCACAAGGGGCTATGTGTAAGAATGTGTGAAAAGCTTATAAAAAAAAAAAAAAAAAAAAAAAAAAAAAAAAAAACACTTTTTCCCTTCCCGATACCTTGACTATAAAACATGAACAAATACATACAGTGAACTAGAGTATTTTTATTATCGAGTCGACATACACAGCAATTTTATTTTTTTATTTATCTTAACCCTCAAACCGTATTCAGTTTATAGCCCATAATCCTGTAATTGTGGACAAATGTGGGCACAGAGTGTGATCCTAATTTTTATTTATTATAAATGTTATATCACATGTCTTCGATAAAGTTTTGTCTATCCATTTCTGGTGGGTTTTTTTTTCTTTTTCTTTTTTTTTTGTTGTTTTTTTTTAGGGGTATTTTTGAAATTATTTAAGTTTATTATTTAAGTTAAAATTATTTTAGGGATATTTTAAAATTATTTACTTCAAAAAAGTACCATATTTTCGATGTAAATTATGCTTATTTTTATGTTTTATTTATTTTATTTTATTTTTTAAATTTTTTAACTGCATTAAAATATAATTCCAATAAGTTCTTGGAGCTAAAACCTAAAGTTAAAGTGACTTTGTTGTCACCTGGTGTCTTATTTTGGCTTATTTTACAACGCTAAATTACAGTTTTTCCCCATTCATTTCTATGGGTGCTCATTTTTGACCCAAATACAAGAGGTTTTTTATTTTTTTCCACTCTCTTAACATTGTAGAATTGAGTCACAAAAAAAATTGTGTGTGTTCAGGTCAAGTCTTGTACCGCTCAGATAAAGGGACTTTTTTTTTTTTAAAAAAATAATTAAAAACTATTTTGCCCACATTTGTCCAGAATACGGTTTTAGGGTTAAGTGAAAAAGTACTTGCAGCCACACATCTAATACTTCAAACTGAAAAAGGTATTTTAGATTTACAAAATAACTGTATAAAAAAGTGCAACAAATCAATCTAGGAATCTAAAAAAAAGATATATGAATACCAGTAATATAAGAAAATAACCTCTTTAAAGTGTAGAAAAAAAAGTTAAATACATGGCATTTCAGTTTTGTCAAACACGATCATTTTATGGGTTATAGACATGTGCCGGTATCAAATTTTTATGCTGTGGTTAATTGATTGAGCTTTTATCATGATATACGGTATTATCACAATATTTTAATCGCTCAAGAGAAACAGATGGATTGTGGGTATAAAAAAAAACAAACAAACAAAAAAAAAACAGGAAAAGGGGTCTAGCAACACCCCTGGTACTTTAAGTACATTTTACTAGAGAGATAAATAGAAAAAAAAAGAGCCAACAAGAGTATATTAGTCTTATTTAACATTCTAAATTGCATTGTGGCTGTCCATTTGATATACTGTCTCAGCTTTCTGGTAGAAGCAGAAGCCAAACAGGTACAGGTCAACAAAAACAACCTCACTCGTGTCTAACTCCATTTTTTCCCCATGCAGTCTCAATGGAAGTCTTCTTTGTATCTCTTTTCGAACCTCTTTTATTCCCTCTTTTTTTTTCATTCTCTCGTATAAGAAACATGAGCCGTTCAGTTGCATGCTAGCAAAAACCACACTATAACACCGGATTAATATTTAATGACACCATGGTCCAGTATCGACCACGCCATGCCATGGAAACACACACACACACACACTCTCTCACTATAAGGTGGAAATGTCACGCATAAGCATCCACGAAATGAGTTATAGGCACAAGAACATTTAGACATCAGCCCAAGGCAAATAAAGTCATTGCAAGTGCATTTTGATAGCTGTTCATGCATTTAATTGCACTAAACAAAGACTTTTGGTATCAAAAAGATCCGCTAAACAACCATCATTATCTTTGTTGTCACGGTTGTGATTGCATTTCTGAATCTTGATTGTTATTGAGTGAGTTCATTAGCTTGTTTAGTAACAAGGGCTTAACAAATGTAATTGTGTGTGAGAGCTTTACAACATTTATGCAGATATAAATATGGGATGAGACGTGACAAAGTTTCAACCTTTTCATTTTAACATAGCACTTTGTAGCACTTTTTTAACATTCTGCATGCTTTTTTCCTTAACAGTTTTTATTATTTGTTTTATTTTATACACAGGTTCAAAAGTTCAGTACGATTTATTTATGTTTTTAAAAAAAAGTCTCTTCAGCTCACCAAGGCTGCATGCACACTGTAAAAATGAATATGCTGAATATGAATATTGATTAGAATTATCTAATCAAAAAATAAAAATAAAAAATGTGGCAACATATTACAAGCAATATTATTAATTAAATGTAACAAATTAGAATTGAGTAATAATTAATCAAATTAATTCCTTAAAAGTTAACCATTTAAAATGAGTAAAACTTACAACAACAACAAACAAAAACATAAATTTAGGTCACCATTATGGTGATCGGTGTTTGTTTTAAAATAACAGTTTTCTCCTTCAGTGATTCTGCCTGTTAACATCAGGTGTCTTCAATATCGGCAATATAAAATAAATAGTTCTTAATTAATCTTTGACGTCTGTCTGTTAGCGATATATTTTTGTAAAATTTTTTGGTGTAAACTTTACTAATTTAAAATTACTTTTAAGGAATAATTTGATTAATTATTACTCAATTCTAATTTGTTAAATTTAATTAATAATATTGTTTGTAATCTGTTGCCACAATTCTATTGATTAGACAAGGAATATTCATTTTTACAGTGTATAATATCCACGATAAAGTAAAAACAGTAATATTGCCAAGTATTTTTACAATTTAAAATAACTGTTTTCTATGTATATATCTTAAAATGTAATTTATTTCTATGATGATCATTACTTCAGTGTCACATCTTTAAATCATTGTAATATTCTGATTTGCTGCTCAATAAACATTTATTTCTGAAGGATTATGTGACAAAGAAGACTGGTGTAATGATGCTAAAAAATTGCCAAATTTGCCATCACAGGAATAAATGACATTTTATAATATATTTAAATATAAAACAGTTATTTTAAATTGTTTAAAAAAAAAATCACAATGCTGTGTTTTTTTTTTTTTTTGTTTTGTTTTCTTTAAATCAAATAAATGCAGCCTTGGTGAGTATAATAGACTTTTATAGACTATATATATATATATATATATATATATACATATATATATACACACACACACACACACACACACACACACACACACACACACAAGTTATATAGCTTATGAGTCATATGTGAATGTCTCTTGCTTTTCATCAGACAATCAGAGCTCATTACAGAGTCTTTTGAAGCATGTGCTCAGAGTATGATGCTGGCTTTAATGAGCCCCCCCCCCACACACACACGCACTCATGGATAAATAGAGAGCTCTTTGCACACCAGTACCCTTTACAGCATCTACAATGTGCAATAAAAGTCTAACACAAACATTAAACTACAAATATTTGAACAAGGAGTGAATGACAGAAGCAGACAGAGAGAGAGAGAGAGAGAGAGAGAGAGAGAGAGAGAGAGAGAGAGAGAGAGAGAGAGAGAGAGAATGGATGGTTAGCAGTAACCTTCTAAGTTTGTGATTTGTGTTTATTAGTGTGGGGTTTTGCGCGCTCATGGTGGCGTTTGGCTGAAAGAGCAGGAACAGGAAATAGTGCAGATGGTGCTGACTGACTCTGGCAATGCAGAGAGCAGTCATGCTGATCAGAGCTAGTGGCAAAAACACCGGTCACACACACACACACACACAAAACAATGCTGAGCATCACACAATTCTGATGTTACCCATTGTTGTTTTAAAAGAGCAATTCTGAAACTTTGCCCCCTAGTGGTGAGGATTGGAAGTCTCTGTTTGCTACATTTGCATATTCATTTGACAGATTAACAAAAGCATATGCTTCCAAATTAGGGCTGTGCAAAAATTAATTGCGATTAATCGCATCCAAAATAAAAGTCTGTGTTTACATAATATATTTGTGTGTGCTGTATATAATTATTTTGCATATATAATTACCTATGCATGCATGTATTATTTAAGAATTATTTGCGCTTAAATTCTGTATATATATATATATATATATAAATACATAATCTATATTTTATAAATATAAATATTTTATATATGAATAACACATTTTCATAAATATATGAAGAGTTCAGATGCAAAAGCCTCTAAATGCCATTTGAAATTTTCTTCTTTAATGGTGATTTTTATCAAGCTTGTATATTTAAGTTCAGTAATTTCACTTAAATGGCAATGATAATTACCTATTAATTGTTATTTAAGTGAAATTATTGAACTTAAATATACAAGTTTGACAAAAATCATCATTAAAGAAGAAAATTTCAAATGGCATTTAGAGGCTTTTGCATCTGAACTCTTCATATACATGCATGTGTGTGTATTTATATACTGTATACAAAATAATTATACATATACAGCACACACAAATATATTATGTAAACACAGACTTTTATTTTGGATGCGATTAATCGCAATTAATTTTTGCACAGCCCTATTCCAAATTCTATATTTTCAGTAATATTTGCACTTACACTGCATCAAAGCAAAATGATATGACAAAACCACTTGCAAGGTTTATTGAAATATTCACCAGCACATGCCTTTTGTATTTAAAATAATAATTGAATAAAAATAAAAGGAACAAATTATTTTATTCAGCAAGAATGTCTTAATCTGATTAACAATAACAAAAAAGACTTGTACACTCTTTAAAAAAAATTCTATTTCAAATAAATGCTG